CCTCCTTCAGGGAACGAGGGTTACATACGTAACCGAGACGTTAACAACTCTGAAGAATTCCAGTTCCAAAGAACTGAAAATGTAGTTTTTCCAGTGCAGTGGTAATGTCGTGATTTTTATTTTTTTTTTTACTGTTGCAGTGCTTGCATACTATGGCGCTGTGGGCGCAAATGACCCCGCAGTTACAGTACCTGCCAACTCAGACACTGAATGAACTCTACCCGGACACATTCCCTCTGGACGTCAGGCACTATCTGGCCAGCTGGATAGAGGAACAGAGATGGTATGACATCACTGTTACAAATTAAATGGATGCTTTTTATGTTGTATTAAGATTAACACAGTATTGTTTACCCTAAGTTTGCGCTGAACTGACACCTACAGTAGTACCGTGAATACAACATCACAGGCAGTGTAGAAATGCTTTGTTCACAGCTAGCCATGATTAATTTATTCCATAAAGAAAGTGTCTGAAAATTAGAGAAGTGAGTAGTATTAGGACTGAAGGTAATGACTGAAAAGTAGTTTGACCAATAGCATGCAGGCATTGTACATAATCAACAAATCGTGGTGTGTGAGAAGGTGGAATCTACAGAGATTCAATGCAAATGCAAATATGGGTACATATAATGTGAAGACTGTAGAGAGCACAGCAATAGGAAAACAAAGCCAAAATCAGGACATTTTAGGCAATTTATAAATCCTATCCAGGACATGTCCGGGAAAAAGAGGACGTAGTAATCCCTATATGGTGGTCTCCATAAGGTGGCCAACTCTGATATTAAACATTTAAAAAGTTAATTTCTTATAATGGTTTTTCATTAAGATCAAATGACTCAGTGCACATTTAATATGTACTGGTGACTGAGTAAAACAAATGAAATAGAAACATGAGCGACTATTGTCTAAGGCAAACAATTTAGGGTAGTTCACTGCTTAGGAATTTCCTGTGACAGGGAACTGAATCATTCTTATAATGAGAATTGGGATGATGGTTGGAGAACAGCACAGGACAAGCTAGACTTGAAAGGCTTTGTTCCATGTCAGTTTGCGACATTTACTAAGGATGATTCTATGCAGCAGGGCTTTAAAAATGTCATGCCTGTGTAATGTTTTATTTAGGGAGAACTTTGATGTGGACAACATGGAGCAGAAGCCTCAGGCCCGAAGGCTGTTGGATCAGATGGTGCATTTGCTGCAGGAGGTGGCCCAACACAACCCTAACGTGGTGGAGAGGGTCAAACTACAACATATCAGCCGGAACTTGGTGTGCATAACAAATATTCCTAACCTTCATGATTTCTGCTGGCTTAAAGCTACTGGATCATTCCGTGTCAAATCAACTAAATAAAAAAAAAAATCCCCAGGTCAAATTTTTGATTTTGCTACTATTTTTTCTGAAGAAAGACAGACATGTGATGAAAGCCAAAATGTCATGGATAAATATTTACTGAGTAATCCACTATTTTGTGTGTGTGTGTGTG